CCCCCCCCCCATCCCCAGACACCCTGGGTCTTCATAGCACTGACTGGCAGCTTTGGTCGTGTGCACATGCGTCTCCCCAGTGAACGTGGCCTCAAGCTGGAGCAGAGGGTGTGTGCCTTCTTCCTTGCCCATTCCTTGGCGTAGTGCTCAGTACAGGAAGGGACTCCAAAAATATGTGTAGGTAAGGGCCCGCCCAGCGAGCTGCTGTCTGATTGGACCCCTTCCCCTTCCTCTTGTCTCTGTCCGTCCTCACTCTCCAGATGCTTTTAAAGGAACATGAGCTGCTCCACGTTTGTTTGTTGGATGGATTGTTTGTTTTTTGGTCGCCTCAGCTTCAGCTCTCACTTCTTGAATGTGACCATACCTTGGTATCGCTGACCTTTTCTTGCTCCTGAATTTACAGCTGCTCGGATTTTCATTTGCCCTCGAGCTTAAGAAAACCAAATCCAGACCTCCCGAGTGAGCCCTTGCATTTGCTTTCCCGCCACCTTCCGTTGTTTTTGTGGTCAACGGAGCTCCTAGGTTCTGTGCACGAGAGGGTTCTTCCTTCTCAGTCATGTATCAGCGTGTCTGCAAGTCCTGTTAATTTGACCCAGGAAGTATTTTATATCCACTGTCTTCCTAACTTCCTCAGCAAATCTGACATGTGCTTCCTTCAGAGAAAGTAAAACCCTTCTACTGTCTGGCACTCGTATCTTCCACAGCCGCAGGCAAACTTCATCTTGCCAGAAAGATTCAGGTTGTTGAGGAATTCACCCTCGGTAATGCACTAACTTTTAAAGACATGACATGCCTGTAGATTTTGGCATTAAGGAACCATGAAATGCTTTAATTGGATGCTAAAGTCCCCCGTGGTTTAATCCAATCTCCTAGCCTGGTGCGCCCGCACTTGCTTTCCCTGGGAAATTATGTGACATAATTTCCAAAATGCACCGTAGCCCAAGAGATAGTAGATGCTGCTGACCGTGCCGTACCTCACCTGCAGTTCAAAACCCAGTGCTTCGTTCACCTCCGTGTGAACTGGAGATGGTAGAGCTGCTGTAGGGCACACGTGTGAACTGGAGATAGATAGAGCTGCCGTGGGTGCAGACATGTGTGAACTGGAGATAGAGCCGCCGTGGGTGCACATTTGTGTGAACTGGAGATAGATGGAGCCGCCATGGGTGCACACGTGTGTGAACTGGAGATAGATGGAGCCGCCATGGGTGCACACGTGTGTGAACTGGAGATAGAGCTGCCGTGGGTGCACACGTGTGTGAACTGGAGCTAGAGCTGCTGTGGGTGCACGTGTGTGAACTGGAGATGGAGCTGCCGTGGGTGCACACGTGTGTGAACTGGAGATAGATGGAGCCGCCATGGGTGCACACGTGTGTGAACTGGAGATGGTAGAGCTGCCGTGGGTGCACACGTGTGTAAACTAGAGATGGTAGAGCTGCC